TGTCTTGAGGGAGCTGAAAATCAAAAATGTGCTCGAATGCATGGAACGTGCATAACTCTGTGGAGAGATACAGGAAGTCAGGGAAGTTCCAAGTGTGTGTTTCGTCTTAAGATTCAGCTCTTAGACCGCGGAACACAAACTGGAAAGAAATGAAGCACAACCGGAGCCCTACACACTGAAAGCAGCTCAAGTTTGAAGCTACAGAGTTAGAAGTTACTGGGCATCTATGCTTCTGTTTAGATTTTTGTAAAGCTGTGTGTGTACTTATCTTACTCTGGAGTTGAGGAACAGGAAAAGGAATATCAGCCCATGTGTGGAATTGTTTCCAAGATCACAACAAAAGTCTCGCAGCTGGAACCAGAAATAAAGGTCGTGGTGATGACATTGAGTGTTAAAAGTTGCATGTGTGAATTCAAACTCTATGAAAAATGTGTACGTCTTAATTCTAGTTACCAGTTCCAGACACGAAAGACTTTTCTCTTTCCTCAACAGCGCTCTCAACACTGAGAAAAAAAAAGGAATTTGTTTCTGTTTTTGTGTACTCTCCTCAGCTCTCTTCTTAATTGGAACAATCATAACTCACATAAATAATGACCCACTTTGGCTACAGGACCCAGTGGAGAGTTCAAAAGACAAATCAAAAGCAACAAAATGTCAAGATGTTTACTGGAACCCCTGAAAAGCAGACTTGTAAAAGCAGAACAGCATACCTGAAGCTTACGTATTTTAGTCAGGATCCCCTAGAGAAAGAAAACCACAGGAGTACTCTACCTATCCACAGATATTTCCATATAATGAGATTTATTACAATGAATTGGCTCAAGGCTTCCTAGAGGCTGAAAAGTTCCACGATCTTCCCTTACCAAGCTGCAGACACAGGAGAGCGGATGGCCTAGTTTGAAGATATCAGAGTCAAAGAGCTGACGTTGAAAATCCCAGTTCTACCTTGATGGTTGAGAATCAAGACCACCGGAAGCAGAAGATGCATCCCTAGCTCATTTGGGCAGACAGCAAATCCTCCCTTTTTCTGCCTTCTGCTCTGTTCTGGCCACCAAGGGATCAGAAGATGCATGCCATATTGAAGACGACTGACTCCATAAAGAGACCCAAACACTAATCTCTTCCTGTCCTCCTCTCACAGAGGAGGACATCCAAACATAATGTGTGACCAGATATCTGGGCAACCCGGGATCCAGTCAAGTTGACAGAAAAATGTAGCCATCAGACTCATGGTTTAGAATCGAGACCGAATCTTAGCTCCTCACTTTACCATTTTGTATTTCAACGTCCTTAGCTCTGAGAGTCATAAAATCAGTGTCCCCATTTACATTAATCAGCTTGCTTCCTGACGTGCTCTAGGCAAGTACCCATATTATTTTGTACTATTTTGCTATCGCATTTCTTTATTGAAATATGGTTTGCCTTTTGTTTGTAAGTATATAAATTTATGTTTTAAGTATAACTTGTTCCACACACCAGTCACTACTTTTAAGCTCCAATTATGCATTTGACAATGAATTAAAGGGAATTAGAAAATATACAGAAGACAAAATATGGGTAGATTCTTTCCCATAAGCCCCCAGGCAATAAGGGGAGAATGAAATTCAACAGGAAGTTCTGGAAATTTTGACAAGGCAGACCAGTTTTCCCTGGGCAGTCTTGGTTTATGGGTGTTGTCCCAGAATACTTCTTGATAGTTTCCCCTTTCTGAAGAGTGTCCTGGTCTGAGCGATTAAATGTACGTAGTACAAGTGGTTACCGCAGCAGGATCAGCCTGTCAGGAGAGCAAAACTCCTCAAAGGTCCTTAATCCATGTAGTGGGTTGGGCGGGTGAAGCCGCTTCCTCAGGGAGTAGGGAGGATGTGTGGGAAGAGCTGTGTAATCCTGAGCAGGAGGCATGGAGAAGAGCGCTCATTCCAAAGGACAGACTAGTGAGTCAAAAATGAGGGTGAGGATGGCTGACTGAGGACAACCAGAGAAGCTGAAATTAAAACAGAATCCTGAAGTTCACAGAAGAGAGCTTCAAAGACAACATCAGACAGTGGTGAAGCTGTCGTGGTCATGAGCATTCTGATGATTTTTGCCAATCTAGTGAAAGGCAATAAAAGCACAAGGAAGGCATTATACTGACTTGAGAGTACGAAGCATTATAAAGTTCTGCGCACACAGGGGCAGCCCAGACCCAGAGAGGCAGCAGCTTTCGATCCGGAAGCCTTTGAGTAACTTAACTTTCAATCACACTACCAAGACAGTTCCTTCCCTGCGTTCCTCTGCCAGGTCGTGGAAGTGAGTCTAAGAACCTCAGGAACCTCATTCTTACTCTTTTTTCTCTCTCTCTTCTGTCACTCTCAGGGCCAAAGGAGTTATTTTTAAAGGCATGGGTGCATGTTTTTTATTATAATGTTAGGGCAAAAGGGGAGATGACCTTTACATTTAGTTAGTAGCTGTCATACGATCATAAGCATCTGTTCAGTTTTTCTGGCAGACCAGTTCCAAAACGAATCATTTGGTGCATAGGTTATTGTTTATGCCCACTTCACAGCCTGTTTCAGAGCTGCTCCAACTCCATGTTCCAGGCAGCATTTGCCCCAGAGTACTACTGACACTAGGGGAGGTGATGTCTCCCACCCCTGCAGCTCCTCCTCATGAGGCCTGGTCTATCTCCACTCAGATCAACCATTTTTATTTAAAAAAAAAAGGGAGCACGTAAGAACAGGGAAACAACCCTCCATCCTGTTCTCAAAAATGAAATCCAAGGTGACTTTGAAAGCAGTAGAAGGTGAGAGAGAAACCAGTAACTCAGAGGCCAAAGTGTGTGCTGTAAAATAAGGAGCTGGTTACTAGGGGATTCAGTCTCTCAAAATCCTCCACTTCTAAAATCTAAGCTGGTGGGAATCAGGTCCAAAGAGTGCATAGTTGGCTGCAGATATGATGGGACTCCATGTTGGCAAAGGAAGAAACCTTCTGAAAGACCCATGTTAATCAAGGTTGTATCAGACACCTGAAGAGGTGGCCCCCAATATAGAAAAAGAGAGCTTCCTGAGGAAAATAACATGGAAAACCAGCAAGCCATTGTCAAATAGGACCAAGCTTGAGAGCTGTACTGTGTGGTTTGGAATCAGGATCCTCAATTTATATTCCTTGGGCCTCTGTTTTTCCATCTGTATAACAGCAAGAGGAGTAATAGTAGTAACACCTCATGTTACCATCACCAGGACCTATAAAGCACTGAGAACAATACTTGGCCCAGAGAGAATGCTTGTTAGCAACAATCATAAGAAAAGTCCACCTGTCATTATCTCTCAGGTATGATGTGCTCTTCTCTAAGATGTCAGAAAACTCTTGAACTCCTACCATGCACCCTCCATCAACTTTCAATCTCCCTAAAACCAAGTTGAATTAACAACTCTTAGCAAAATTTACAAATTCAACATTTACAAATGAAAGAAGTTGCAGTACTCGGTTCTAAATATCCGGCGATACACCTACCAATGCCCGTAGGGAACTGTGTCCAGTGGTGGCAAAGACTGAGTTGTTACGGGGATGGACACAGCTGGGAAGGGTCAGAGTTTACTTTATCTTAATATCTCTTTGTCTCAATTTAGAAAAAAGCAAAGAAAGATCCTAGCTTCCAGACGACCATGAAAACAAAATAAACAAGCATGCAAATGAGATGTGTTTTGGATGTGGGTTTGTATATATTGGCAGAAAGGGCAATGAAACTTAGGACTCGACATTCTTACTCTTTTTTTCTCTCTTCTGTCACTCTCAGTGCCAAAGGAGTTATTTTTAAAAGCATGGGTGCATGTTTTTGATTATAATGTTAGGGCAAAAGGGGAGATGACCTTTACATTTAGTTAGTAGCTGTCATACGATCAGTAAGCATCAAATGGTACCACTTCCTACTTTGCCACCAGCAATGAGGGTATTCTATAGCTTTTTGTCCTACACATACACAATTGAACAGCACTCACTAAGGCTGAACATGTTGAAATAATCACGTATTTCTTAATTCATCCAGAGAATGTTTACTCCCCTCCAAGCTCTGTCAGAGCCTCTTGCAAGGCCAGGCTACCCTGTATGCAGACACAAATGAAGATGGTCGATGGTCGATCCTTACCAAAGCATACAGGCATCATCCCAGCCCTGTGCACCAGGATGGAGAGAGGTCTCACAGTCACACAGGTTTCCAGGTAAAGCCCATGGGATGAAAATGAGCTGCACAACCAGAGACTAGGTGCAGTCCCTCTTCACTAGAAGAGGTAGGTGGGATTGCAGCTCGAGGGGTTCCCATGGACAAGAGACCAGAAATCCTACAAGGCTTCCAGCGTCCTGATTCTTCAGTACTGCCATTCTCATTTTGGAGTCTGGGAACATAGCTGAGGGGCAGGGTGCTGGCCCAGAGGCAGAAAGCCCTGGGTTCAATCCCTCGCACCATAAAATAAAACAAAATTCTCATTTTTGATCTTTCTGTGGGTGTTATCAAGTCTGGGGCCAACTCCTAGAGAGAAGAATGATACATTCCTAGCAAACAAAAACAAAATGCTAATTTTGATGTTTTGTGCACAGACTTTTGCTGGGAAAAGGGAAAAACAAAATTATCTGTTCCCTAATATTTTTTTGACTTTTACCTAAGAGACCAATGAAAACATACAAAATTTTGACTGAAAACAAAGACTTTAGTAAATAGCAAAATGTTTTTTATACAAAACCAACCAATTGGGAAAAACCTCCCTGTGACATTAACTAAATTTCTCTTTTTTCTTTGACTATTTAGTGACATATGGCCTAAAACTGTATACTAAATATATGCATATAAAATACATAGAAGAGAAAAATAATCTGTACTTAATATTTATTTAGTCTTCATTGCTCTTTTTGTTGTCATTGTTGTACAACAAACTTAGCTTTTGAATTTTCAAATCTATGATCCAAACAAGTTGTTTTTATTCTCTGAAAAAATCGCATCTAACAAAATTGGTGTTAAATTAAAGTCATTTCGTCCGAAAGAACCAAGTAATTATTATACATCTCAAAAGGAGGGTGGGATGATGAAATTTCACTGTATTCCTGTAGAAAAGGAAAATAATCTAAATTAAAATAAGTAACACATAAAAATGTTATTTTTTCATGTGCATCAACAAAAAGACTCAGTAAACATTTAGACCTGCATAGGGCGAACAATGCAAACTGAAGAAATCGTCTCTTTGTAGCAGTAGCTTAGCACAGCAAACATGATTTTTATCACATATGCAAAGTGCACTATTGATGGTCGGTCTACATGACTCCTCTTCAGATGATCAGGGGCGTGAATACTTTCTGTGTTGTGGCTCTGCATTCCTGAAGTCCTTTGGTGCCTGCTATAAAGATGTGGGAGAGAAAGAGAGAATAAGAATCATGGCTTTACTGTTTTATCTACAAACAGCCCCATTATACAATAGCTTCAATTTATAAGTCAAATATACTTTTTCTAAAAGGGTAAAGAATTAAACAAGTGGACAGGCCAAGACACATCTGCAAAGCTTCATTTATTGGTGAGCAGTTAGTGTAAACAAGGTGCAAAAAAAAAACACAGTAGATTTCTAATAAACGATAAAGCACCCTCTCTTTAAGTGTCTCTCCCACTTTTCACTCTTCAGTGACTAGGGCGGGATATACTTAGTGGCTCCTCCACTCGGAGTAAGTGACAGTCTAATCTCACATGTAAGAGACAAAGCTTCTTCTACCGCATGCCTAGCTGATTTCAGCAAGATGGTCGTGCCTTCACTCACCTCACTGGAGACATTTATGCATTGCAAGAAAAGAGAAGCATGCTCAGGGTGACAAGTGAGGGGCTGAGCAACATAGGCGCTGACTAATTAGAAAGTGTGCATGAGTTCGATTCCTGGTACCAATAAAGAAATAAAAAGAAAAGAAAAGAACGTGTGCTGACCCTATACCGGGAGCTAGGTGTTAAACCTTTAGTTTCTGGCTTTCAGCATAGAAAGGACTTAGGGGAAAGAGCAGTATGGTGGAGGGAAGGGGCTCTTACAAACACGGTTATCTGATATCACACTAATGCAGATATTTTCCAATATTTTTAATCAATGTGTTCAATCATAGTAGGGCCCACAAACCAATCTATAAGATTCCAGCTTCAGATTTTCTCAACCATCAGGAATTGTAATTTGGAATTTGAGAAGTTTTCATTTCCATTACATGTGTGCTTCTGATAAAAATCTCCAATGTTCTTTTAAAACTCCTCATCCATTTCTTATGAAGTTATTGTCATCTTGTTCCGAAACATACTGCTGTGTGTGAGCTTATTAGATCACCTAACTTCAGCCTTTATTGTTAATCCATCTAAATCCTTTTGAGAGTTTTGTATAAGAGCAGCTGGATTTTGTGATCAAATCTATCTATAATATGTTTGATCATGTCTTTGTTGCCTAATCTCATGCTTCCTATTTTGATCACATTTGAATAATTTTATTATTTCTCTCATTCTCAACTCAATCTCCAAAACCTGATAATGTATTATACCATTTTCAGCATCTGCCAACTCACCATGAGCAAACACACACAGGTGTATCATCTCCATTCATGTCCTCCATAAGCAGACGCCAAGATAGAACAAGAAGTGAGAGATGGAGATCAAAGACAGAAGAGTGAACCAGGGAAACGAATGCTAATTCAATCTGACACCTAGGAAAGGAAAGAGGGAAGGCAGGACAGTGTGGAAAGAGCCTCGAACTCAAGACACCTTCAAGAACATCTCAGCCAGCCAGTGGGAACCACAGAACCAAAGTGAGCTGGGCGGAAACAGCAGACCAGTGGTGGCGAACCTATAGCACACGTGCCACAGTGTGTATCATTGAAAGCTCCAAAAGGTTCGCCATCCCTACAAATATGGTCCCACTGGTGGGCCCAGTGATGGGCTGGGAGCTACTCAGAAGGACCATGGCTTCATGTGAATGTGGGCTACATGCCAAAGGTGTATAAAATCTATTTTACTTACATTTAAAAAGCATTCATCTTGGGGCCGGAGTTTTAGCTCGGGGGCTCCGTGCCATCCTCGAAAGTGCACGGTCCTGAGTTCAATCTCTAGCACCTCTCCCCGCACCAAAATTAAATAAACAAATAAATAAATAAAGCATTCAATTTGGTTTTTGCAAACTTTCACACATATATACATGACTTGATATTAATATACTTGTGTTGCATATTCTTATTTTCATTAAAGAAAATACATGTTCAATCATAATAATTATAGTATATTATAAAGAGTATATCATAATAATATATATGTTGAATACAAAGAATCTCCTACTCTCATCTGTAGTGGAAGGTAGAAGTACCTGGTGTCAAGTTCCATTACCCATCTTTTTGCTGTGATGCTATGTTTTTCTATGAATTTCACTTACCTCTGAGAGTCTTAGAGTACATCTAAGTAGTTTTGTCAAAAGTATTGTTTCCATATCTAAGCAAGTCTTCTGATGCTTTTGTTCAGCACATGGCATGTTATGGGGTCTTTGACTCTTGCCTATAACTACTCCAAACTCTCCAGGAATTCCCAAATCATCTCAGTGCTAAGTATTACTAAGAAGAAAGGGCTTACTTTTGTTCCTTTGTACGTAAGCTAAATTATCTGCTAAATCAGCTAGAGAGTTTTTAAACTAAATACAAATACAAACATCTTGTCAGTGTACATGTATGTGTGAGTTATAATCTTTCTAGTTTATTTTTTAAATTAATCTTGTATGTACATTTAATGACTTCATTTTCTATATTTCTGAGCCATGCTTTTAAAATCGAAATGATTTCTTTTATCTGCCCAGTAATCTACCAAAAACCTGTAGAGCTATTGTCAGTTTCTTTTTGCCTAGACATGAAAACATTGGTGCTATTGTTTTTACTCAGAAAATACACTGAATATAAACATTCTTATGCTTTCCGGTGTCAGTGCTTTCAGTTTTCAAATTCCAGAAGTGATTTTTCCACTTATAGTATTAAATTCTACTCTTAAGGAATGGTCTTGATATTTTTTGCTTCATCCTTACTTCTAGTCCCTACTCTGTCCTAAGTACTCATCTGGGAAGCAGAAAGATGTCTCTCTGTCATCTGTATTTTATTAAGTGTCTAATACACTAAAAGGGAAGCCAGTTCTCTGTTCTCCCAACATTTCAGCCGAGTACCAGAACATGGGGCCAAACAAATTATAGCAAACCACTTTCTAATAGAATTAAAAAAAAGAAAGTGCCTTGGGAGATCTGTAATGCCCTAAACACAGCAAATAAACTTTGAATGTTTAGAATCTCTATCCAAAAGTCTCTCCCACCACAAACCAACTGTATCTCAACTTATCCCCCCGCCAAAAGATGAGCAGTTAAAGCAATGTGACTGTAACTTGAGCTTCGCAGTTCTAGGGAGCCTTCCCATTTCCAACATGAGACTTAGACCACTAAGCTATCTCTCCTTGTGGATTTATTTGCCTCTCTTATTTTCTTGGTTAAAAAATGTCTGAGTCACCATAAACCAAACACTGTGAGAATCTCTGCTTTTAAAAGAGCATTAGAGCTGCACTGATTGATTTGGTGGGATGTTGGAAATGGTGGGATGTGGGATGTTTTATTCTCAGGCTTTATTTGGTTCTTGGAATATGGATGAAAGGAGTGTAAATAGAAGCAATGTCATCCTCAATTCTCAGCTTAATATGTTCCCTGTTGCCCCCTCTGTACTCAAATGGACCTTACCAGAGCCTTTTCAAAATGTGTGTACATTAAGTCACCTAAAAGGCGGAATAACCAAGACTTTAATTATAGCACATCTACTCAGAACAGAGCACAGTGCTCAGATTGTAAGGTGCACATCAGCTGCAGTGAGTTTTAAAGTTTACAGAAGTGGGGCGGGGTTGTCACCCAGTGGTAAAGCTGGTTCTTAGAATGAGCAACCCCCAGTGTCAAATAAAGCAAAAGCAAATCAACAAAGGCACCCCTGCCCTTTAAAAATAGCAGTTAGAGTTAAAAGTTCCACTATGAAAACGTAAGAGCTTGGCGTGGTGGTACACTCCAGAAGGCTGTGACAGAAGGGTCACGGGTTCTAAGCCAGGGTGAACAACTTAGTGATTTAGTGAGTCCCTGACTCAAAATAAAATGAAAAAGGACTGGGGATGTAGCTCAGTGAGACCGTCCTGGGTGACACCCCTAGTTCAAAAATAAAAGTCAGTTTCCAATGGCTGTGATGTTAGTGAAGATTAAATGTTAAGCATCACAGGGTAAAAAGACAGGTGGTTGTGACTGATTCTCTTCTTTCTCAGATATATGTATATATTTACATATATTTTACATATATTTACATTTATTTCCCCCCTACTATCAGTAGCACCAGGAATTATCAAATGAAATAAAGACAGGGCTGAGAAGAAAGCCAAACTCTCTGCCAGAGTTAAAAACGGCTGGAAAGATGTTCACTGGGAGCTGTGTGCCCTGGTGGATCCCAGGAGCGGGGCAAGAAAATTCGAACAGACGCTGAGGTTTGTTTCCTTCCAGAAAAACAGGACACCAGTGATATTGAGACATAATACGCTGCGATATTTTATTTTCAAAACAAGACTAAACCAACTCGAGCTCCCTCAGGAGAACCCTGCTTCCCAGCGCCGGGGCTGCCTGGGAGCCCTGGCATTTCCTCCGTAGCGGGGAGAGCAGCCAGCACAATAATCAAGCTGTGATGGGGAGCTGAACGCAGTGGTTAATTAAGGCTGGATCTTTTATTTTCCGGGGCAATTCGGCACAGCTTGAGTGAGCCCCTGAGCCAGTCCACGGTGGGAATGTCTCACGGGACAGTGGGAGAATTCAGTCTCAGGGCCCGGCTCATCAGCATGACAATGGCCCCCAGGATGCACTTGGACTGAGGTAATGGCCGGCCCCAGCCAGCGTGGAGGATGAAAGCCTCCTTGCTGAAGCCTGGAGCCTTTGCAGCTGACTGGGGCTACCTCAGTGCTCCAAATTCCTTCCCTCTTTCATTCTTTTATAAGAGATGTTTGCTAATTGGTAGAGCTCAGAAAACAATGTACCATTAAGAAGCCCTTTCCCCCTTCCACTCTCCTTTCCTCCCCGCCCTTAAATCTCTGTTTCCTTGATTCGCTGGAAATCGCAACTTCTGTTCTACGGTTTGCGCGGAGTCTTAATTTTCGTTAACATGATGGCACTTATAAACACAATCTGCTGCAGGCGCTCTGCAACCGATTCCTCGTTTCCCAAGTGTACTCTCCGCCTCTTTGAGAATCTTGGCTGTGACCCACTCGGACTCATGCATTTGCCTGGTGCATTATACATTGATACAAAACATTTTGGAAAAGTGAGTCATGGAAAGTTAGTCTGATTCTGTATTTTTTCTTTCTTTCTTTGAAATCACAACAACCCATTTGAAGCTGGAGCCACTGGCTCATTTAAGCTGACAGGGAAATGGGCAGAGTGAAGCCGGCCTGAGGAAATGCTAGTGGTCGTTTGGCTTTGCCACCGAGCCAGTAAGTGATGAGCACTGTCCTCACCTTCCCTGTGTTTGTCCGAATTTCCTCGGGTGTCTGGGAGAAGGGTGGTTTCTAAGGCCTCTCCAGGGCTGTGGCTTTACGCCTGAGAGATGGCCCACATTCTTTCTTTCTTTCTTTCTTTCTTTCTTTCTTTCTTTCTTTCTTTCTTTCTTTCTTTCTTTCTATCTTTCTTTCTTTTGGTACTGAGCACTGAACCCAGGATTTCTTCACTGAACTAAATTTCCAGCTCTTTCTTTTCTTTTCTTCTTCTTTTTTCTTTCTTTCTTTTTTTTTTTTTTTTTTTTTTTTTTTTTAACTTTGAGACTAGGTCTCTCCTGCTAAATTGTTAAATTGCCCCCGCTAGGCTCAAACTTGCAACTCTCCTGCCTCAGTTTCCCAGAGTGCTGGGATTAGAGGCCTGTACCATGATGTCCTGATAAATCGGGTCACATTTTCTTAATGTTCGTGGCCACCCACTGTCAAATGTCAAAAAAATTGTGGTGTGGTAGTTCTTCAAAGCAAGAGATGCCCATGTTCCTTTTTGAGCTTTGATACGAATGTACTTAATGCTATGGGGTGTTCTCCTCCTGATAACCTATTAACTTCAACTGCCAAAGGTGCTGAGCACTTGTTCCGCACATCCTGTCTCAGCTCCCCTGGAGAGGAGAGCAGCTGGCTGGCCAAACAAGATGCTCAGCATCTTGGAGTCACTGGAAGCCCACATGGGACACTTTTCACCCCCGCCTTTCTTTGGTACACTTGCCTGTCGGAAGCACCTGTTCCTCAGCAGCCCTGTTCCTTAATGCAGGTGTGTTAAGCACATGAGCTGCTGCCGTTAGTGCTGTGACCCAGGCACAGTATTTTCAAGGGCGAATTATTTCAGAAGTAATGTTTTTATTTCTGAAAACACAACCTGTCACTCACCAGTCTTGTTACTGTTAGATTTTCCTTGCCTTAAGATGTCCGTTACTCCCTTCCCATAATTCCCTGCTTCTCACCTAAAATAATGACTTCCCCCACCTACCAAAGAACAGCCTTCTTCCCATTATGCCTCTTCTCCCTCCAAAATGTAACCAGATTCTTGCTACCTCGGAGTAACCAGTGATGTCACAAGCCCCACCTAGTGGAAAACCTATGAGCTCACTAAAATCCTGTGCCCTCAATGCACATAGGTATCATATCACTGGGAGAAAGTCTGGGACTTTCACTGCCTAACAAAGCTGGTAAGAATCTTTGTCTTAAAATTTTAAATGAGAATTGAGAGGCTAGAACTTCACTTGGGGGTGGGGGAAGAAGTACTAGGATTGTGAAGGAAGGGGGCTACTTGGTCCATCTTGATGAATATTCTTCTTTTGAATAAATGCTGTGACATCTCTCCAGAGGTTCCCATCAAATTCCTGGTAATTATTGTCAGAATTGACTTAAATTTTTTAATTCTGTTACTTTCGGAGATTTAACAAAGGAAGACCAAACTAACAGAACTCTCCAAAACTGTAAAACCTATAGCCTCTTGCACAAAATGTGACACTTCAGTTACAAAAAGCGAGGTCACAAGCCCCAATACTTTCGGTTGTGGGGTCATATCAGGTGAGCCAAGAGTTTGACTTTAGAGTTTCCAAAGCAACAGAATCCCAGCAGATCCCCCGTCCTCCCTCAGCAAAGATCTTGCTCGCAGAATCCAGATGAAAAGCCTCTTTGAACTTGGTAGGGGACCATTCTATTATCATTATTATAAAACCTTAGAGAAGAATTCAGCTGGCTTGATATTTTTCTCAGGCCCAGTCTGGGGTTGAGTAATGGGATGCAAGACCAGTGTCTTTTTAAAGGTGCCAGATTTGTCATCAGATTTTGTCTGGCAAGGAAACACAGGCACACAAGCACAAACACACATAGGCACACGCACACATCCATGTACGTGCACACATGAGCACACTCACACACGGGCACCCGGACAGCCACCCCTGTATTTGCAAAAGGGAAAGAGCATGTCCTTGTCTTTCCGAAGGTCTGCAGCTGGGATCACAATATGTCAAAATGCAGACTGCACATCCCCTCCCCCTGAAGCAGCCAAAGAAATCTTTGTCCAGCCCAGGTGTTGGCTGCATCCTCTTCACTAACATCCTGTCCTGAATTATTCAGGCTCATCCATTATGTATCCCACATAGACACAATTAAATCGTTAACTTGCCTTTCCAGAGAGCAGCAAATTCTCTGGGGGTTGTGGGGACAGTCCTGTTCCTCCCCGGCTGAGATCCTCCTGGTGGAGCTGATTTGAAAGGGAAAGGTTGGCAAAGAGGTGTGAGTCATTTCCTCGGCTGCACAAGCGGCTCTTAGGGCTGTTTGCAAGAGTCCGGGGTGCTCGGAGAGGAGGGGACAGCTGAGATTTAAAGTGGGTTCTGCACAAATCCCCTGAGGCCATTGCAAACGGTAGAGAGTGCCCAAAGCAGATGGCTTTTGGGCCTTTCTTAAACCCCTTGAACGGTTTATGCTTAGGATAAAAATGAATTTGCAAAGTATGAACCAAGTAGAAAGCTGTAGATGGAGACTCCAAATCTCTCACCCAAAACCTCTGGGGAGGTCAGCCAAGTCTCAGCCTTGTATGTTCTTGAGAAACACGGATGAGACGAAATTAAAGACTTCTGAACCAAAAGTGAAACAAAACAAGCAACAAAACAACAAAAACGCTGCTCTTCGACAGCTCCCTACCTTTCCCTGACCTCATACTATAAAAAACAGCTTGCACTGGAATAGTGATTGCAAAATGGCTCAGGGCGTCCATCTGTAGGCAAATTAAATGATAAAATTATAAACTAATTAGGGGAGGTGGGGAACAGATTTTTTCTTTCCTTGTGTGTCCCTTGCTCTTTCCTAGTAGCTTCCTCGCATTTTGCTGTACACATCACTGACCGGCTTCTCATGCCAACTAAATCTATCATTTCCCTTCGTCTGCCCCTGTTGAGAATTGACCAGAGGTAATTTGGTCACAATTCTTTGGCTCTCTGTGGTAGATTATCACGGGCATTAAGAAATTCAAGGAAGGAGAGATTTAATTACGTCTCCACACAATTATTAACCTGCTATAATGAAACCAAGAGTCAGAGACCAAATCTGTTTCCCACAGAACTGGTAATGTAAGCATTAGCAAGTCTTCTCCAAAACAGATCACAAAATCTGTTCTGGAAGCCCAAAGAGCCCTCTCTGTCCTCTACCACCTTCTGTGAACATTTCTTCCAGGAGATACAATAATCCATGGTCAGAACTCAAGTATTCTTACAGATGATCCCAGGTAACCAGAAGTGCTTTACACTCGTCATTCTCCGCTGGACATTTTGTCTGCAGAGGACATTCATGATTGTTGGCAGCAGAAAGGGAGGAATGAAAGCACTTGGCCTCTGGTGTGCAAAGACCAAAGATGGTACTGAACCATTTACAATGCTAAGGACAGCTACCACAAGGAAGAACTATCAGGCCCAAAATGTCGCAGTACCATAGTGGAAAGGCCCAGCTCAAAGCCAGATACAAGGCCTTTTAGATAGAAGTCCTTCCATGTCAATCCTGATATAGAGACTGTCACCTCTGATGGCCTCTTCTGCCTCCTACCCGCAAGGGCAGAGGGTGTGTGAAGCATCCCAGACAATTCGAACCTCTCAAATGCTCTCAGGTGCCATCTTTATGTAACATCCCTGATGCTGACTTACCAACTGCTAATTTACAAACTGGTAATTAACAAGAGCCTAACTTTGAGTAGAAATTGGCGAAAGAGTCATGCTTATGGGATACACTTGTGGAATTTGTTCTTCCAGATTTATTCCCAGCTGATCAACCCCTTCAGCATGGACCTCTGATTAAAGTAATGGCACAAATGCTAGCACCTTAGTCAACACAGAATATCGAAACCTAAACTGAGATATTTTACAGTATACTACAAACATCTCAGTACATCCCCCTGTCTGGGGAGGTACCCAAGGCAGAGGTGAGGAATTTAAACCTATCCTACCCTCCCCTCCCCTACTCATAGGACAAGTGCACAGGTTCTGAGTCAGGATGAGTCAAAGAGGTGTAAAAAGGATTTGTTCAGCAAAATTTTAGAGGAATAGCATGTGGGCCCTCTCAAGAGACAAGGGCTCTCCTCTTTCTTGGAACTGGGAACGCTTACGTTTCTCTGAAGGCGGTGGTGGAAACCTGTAGAAAAGATGGCCCAGCCCCTGGAAAGATAATGTTTGTTTTGCAAATGAGTATGGGCTTCTCTGTCTTTTATTGTTGTTACTTAGATGGATAATTTAGGCAGCCTTTTAATTTTATCAACAACTTCCTTAATATTAAGATCAGGTTGCTGTTCTTTACTTTTCAAGCTAAGCCAATTTATTTAAAGATTTCAGGAATTTCCAGTGTGATGGGACTAGAAGGAAAGGGGCTGTAAAGCAGGGGAATCCTGACATAGCTCTCAACCATATCCTGGATGTTACAGGTCCTTCTTAAAAATACAATTTTATTTACAATTTTTCTTGTTTCAATCTTTATTTCTTCTGTCTTCCTCAACAGGAGCCCCTCAATAAACATGTGCCAAATGGCCAAAGAGTAAATGAGATTTCACTTAATTTTAGTTTCTTATTTACGGGTTACCACTGAGTGACAAACAAGAAACAGGCTTACCTTGGATCCAAATGAGAACCGATGAATCCCTAAAAGTTATTTGTTGCTAGGTTATAACTTTGGGTTGAACTCTAATTTATATTTCAGGAGTTCTAAAATCTTTTCTTTTAAAAGTATAAGCAATGATCAATTGTTTGGAATGAATTCTTCACAGGCAAATGCAATCTCCAGCCTCGGGTTATACAAAAGTTTCATTTTACCCAATAAATTCAACAGCTTCACTGTCTTACAAAAATTTCTAAGTGGCTGTATGCAGAGTTTATGCTCTCTGGCTCTCATTTTTCATTTTTTATGTTTAATACAAGTGCCAACAAATGATGATAATTTTAGCCAAAAGACACATATATAGGTTCTAAAAAGTGTGCAGACTGCAGTAGATCAGCATACGTACAAAGAGAAGGGGGAGACCATACTATTCCCTGTACGAAAAAGTAGACAGGGCTGGGAATTTCACTCATTGGCCCCATGCCTGCCTCACAAGCACAAGGTCCTGAGTTCAATTCCCCTCCCATACCGAAAAAAAAAAAAAAGAAATAAAGGATAATCAGTTTGAGAAGGATTATTTTTCCAGCCCTTCTTAGGTTATGCTGCAACTTCGTAGGTCCAGAGCTGGGGACACTGAGACTTCAAGGGTTGGACTGTATTGTTCCAGCTTACTGTGAGAAAGGGAAAGGCATCACCTAGGGTTATCATACCATCTACTCATATCAAATGGGGTACTAGAGAGAGTGAAAGAATTCTGTTTACAACCATGCTGGAAGAGCAGAAGTAACACAGCTGCTTTAGACATTTTCTCCTCTCTGAGGCACATAGCCACACCCACAACTTAAAGGTGGAGAGGTTTCTTTAGGCTTATTGTTACAGTCCATGATCAGGGGCTCAAAGAGAAGCATGACATCACGGGAAGCCCTGGGCTGGGGAAAGCAGCTCACATCATGGCAGCCAGGAAGCAGAGAGAGGGGGGAATGAGCCGGCGGGGAGACAGACCCTCCAGGTCATGCTCCCAGTGACCTGCCTCATTTCTCCAGACCCTGCCTCCTAACAGTAAGCCCGCTATGGCACTGCGTGACTAAAGCACTTTCCAAAAGCCTCAACTACGAGCACATGAGTTCTTTGCAAAACACGTTTATTACTGTAAATCATAACAGTGGCCAAAGAGAGAGTTGGGTTCACTCTGTTCCATGAACTCTAAATCCATAGCACCTGAAAAAGTGTGAGCAAAAAGATCTTATTGAAAATCAGTGCAGGGCTGGGGATTTAGCTCAGGGGCTGGGGATTTAGCTCAGGAGCACAGTGCCTGCCTGGCAAGTGTAAGGTCCTGAGTTCCATCCCTACCAAAAAAAAAAAAAATCAGTGCAAATTGCCCAAACAATAGGCAGAGACAGAATCAGGAGCAGACACTGGACTAGCAGAAGATGGTAGAGAGGCTTTGGGAAAGAAAGGAACAGAATTCATGAGACCATTGCACACATCCCTCATGTCTGACATTTGCCTGGGACCATTTAGTATATGAGGATGGGGCCAACAATATCATCAAGGAAGCCAGGGGATAAACAAATGATTCTGATTT